TTTGCTCATTTGTTTTTCTCATCTGAAAATGGAATAAAAACAAAACGAAAGCAGGATGTTCTTCTGCGTTTCCACATGAAATGCTGCAGTTTTTGTGATTTTGATGTTTTAACAAAAAACCCAGAAGTCATGTGATCTTTGTGTTTATGTGATCGTCAACAGCTTCCTCATGATGTTTATTGCTTCCTGAAAATCTGACATTTGGACTTTTCACCTGTTCAGACTGTGTTAAAGCGTATGCATTTCATGTCGGACATTAGTTATTATGATGTAAACTTTGCTGTACCTGCATCCAAAAGGAGCTACAGCTGGTGTGTATATTCATGTATACATGAAGACATTTTTATGACTTCTTTAGTAGAGTAGTAGAGCAAACACACCTCTAGCACATAAAACATGAATTAAAACCGACTGCACTTGAGCTGCTTTATCTCGTATCGTGACTCCCAGCATTCCTCCACTGCTGTAGATGGCAGACAAAGATAAAATCCAACCACTTACTTCCTGGAAATGATGCCATGAAACCACTCTGGCACTACACCGTTGCCGATCACAGACTCCAGCTGGGACTTCTTGAACCAGGTGACGGCATCGTGTTTTGGCGGCTGACTTTCCTCCATCGTCCCGGGTTCATTTAATCCTCTGTTGGCAGAATTCACAGCTCACTGACTCCACATGTTGTCACATAAAGCACAAACCAGCTACAGGTACAGGTGGTGTCAGTAAACATCTCTTTGTCAGTATTCAGTGTTCCTCTTTAGGTGGCCTGTTTGGTTCAACATTGTTCTTCAGTTTTTTTTTAATCACCAACATAAGACGAACTTTCTTTTAAAAGTAATCGAGCCAGTATTGAGGTAAACATGTAACCCAGACTTGTTTTTACACCTCCAGTAGCTCCAGCTGTTCTGTTTCATTATCACAGAAACCAAATCTGCTTTCATTTCATTTCACTTCAAATCAATTAACCTCCAACTTACACTCAAACCCTGACATGTCCCAGTATCAGCTTCTTCTCTAAATCACACGTCATTCACAGCAGAGTTCACTCACCTGGCGTGGCAGCTCTGTGATAGTGTGACACAGCAGGGCTCGCTCACCTGATAACACCTGGGAGGGGGCGGAGCTAAAGCCTCCACAGTGCAGGTAGCTCCAATGAAGTCACACAGAAGGAAAGCTGAAATCACCCAAATCATGCAAATGTCTCTTATGTTCTCTAACGGGAAGGAAAGTTTATTTTATTTTCAAATTAGGTTCAGTTGAATTCTGTATAAAAACACTGTATAAAAATAATTAGAATAATTTTTTTAAAAAGCTGGTCAAAGCCAAAAAACATCCTGTAAAACAACAGAACATAACCGTCTCATAAAAGCAGTGATTTTCCAGAATTAAATTATGTTTTCTAGCCTTGATTCATATGAGATGGTGTATATGTGTNGATAACAAGCTAATGCAGTCTGCAAGAGAACTGTGACTTGGGAGAAGATTTGTTTTCCAGCCTGAAGCTCCTCAGAAATGGTTCAAAGACAACAAGGGGAATGTTGTCGAGTGGCCGAGTCAGAGGCAAGACCTCGATCCAGCTGAGAATTTGTGGTTGGACTTGAAAAGGCTGTTTGCTCACAATCCTCGTGTAACCTGACAGAGCTCGAGCAATTCTGCAAAAACAAATTGGCTAAAATCTCAGCATCCAGATGTGCAAGGAGATCTATCCACAAGAGACTCACCAGAGATGCTTCCACTAAACACCAACTGGTAGGGGAGGAGGTTTAGATGTTCGATTAATTGGCTTCACTTCATAGAAATCCATCTTTTGCTTTGACTTGAGTCTTTTATTTTGTAAATTCTTCAGTTCAGCGTTTAAAAGCATTCCCAATGGGGTGAATATTCTTTACAGGCCTCGTTAAAGGATTCCTTAGATTTCATGTTAAAACTGCTGAAAAGTTCAGCACCAAAAAGCTCAGCCAGTCTGAGTTTGTCGGCGACGACAACACGAAACAGCCCCACACCTCTCATCAGTTTGATTTACAGGCTGCTAGATGCTGGTTTGTGTGCAAAATATGCATGACATCACCCTGTCCTGACTGAGGCCCATTACAACAAAACAGAAAGGCAGAAACGTCTCGTGTGAAACGAGCAGAAAAGCTTCCTGTGTGGGAGGAAAACAAGCGATCTGAACGGCTGTGAGTGAGGAGCTGATTGATTGGAGGGCCTCTGAGTTTTCACTGTGTGGGATTTATACAGAGCATCTGTGTGATTCCAGTTCAAGCCTTTAAACAGCAACCAGGATTTCAATAATTAGAACCAGCAGCTTTCCACAAAGAAGCTGATTCCAGCAAAAACCTTTTAAATATCTGGAGACCCACTCTGATCAGAAAACATTTGGGTTTCTTTCGTTTTAGGAGTTTGAAGAACGGCCTTCTAAGGTCATCGTTACCGTGGCTGGACGCGGGGCGCTGGCGTGTCCAAATCCGTCCTCCAGACACGGGTAGAGCCTGTTCTGGAGCGGGACCGTCGGGTCGGTCAGGTTGTTCGGGCGGTAGGGAATGGCAGGTGGGATGTCTTGTAGCGGCGGCGCCAGGGGAGTCGTGCTGGGGGGGTTTGTCGGGAGCAGCCTGGTGTTGGCGGGCGGCTGTCTTTGGGGAAACAGCAGCTCTGCGTAGTCGATGCTGTTGTTTGAGGACTTCAGTGAGACAAAGCAGACAGACGGCACGCTGCAGTCAGCAAATATACGGTTTATTGTCATTCACATGAACAAACTGAGCTCGTTTCACATCAGTCACACACAGCAGAGGACAATACCAGCACCACAACAACCTGTAAGCAACATGAAGCTTTAACGCATGCTGGTAGCATCACGAACACTCGTCCTCACCTGTCCGCACGCAACGGTCAGCACCTGGCTGAACGGCATGATGGGAGTCCTGCGATGGAAGTCCACCAGGTCCTGCAGATGCCGGTGACGCCGGTTCTCCCCCAGGATGATGTACTGGCCGTCCTCCAGCGCATCAATCATGAAGTGTCTGCAGCGGTCCCCGGCCCTGAGGGGTCAGGGGGCAACAGTGAGCGGGGTTTTTAAAAAGCTGAACCGAGTGGAGTGAAGCTTCTGTAATCCTGCTCACCGGTACGACAGCGTGTAGCCGATCCTGCTCTCGCTGACTCTGATGAGGAAGTAGCCCGGAGGCTTGGACATGAGCAGTTCCTCCGCCGTCCTACGCAAATCAGAACAGACAAAGGCCCCTTTCACACAAACACGCTTTCATCTGCAGCTTTTGTCGGGTTGGATCGGGTTTAAACTGCAGCTGGAGTCACTTTTCATTGATAAGCGCTCTGAGAATTCGTCATGTTAATATTAACAGGAAGCAGCTTTTGAACACGTTGGACCAACGTGTTCACAACCTGATAAATATTCCTGATAAATATTCCTGTCAGCAGATATGCATCACACTGGGCCTGACAGTAACCCACACATGTAAACACCATACAAAGGAGGAATCTAATTATTATGAAGGTAAGGTCAGCTATTCAGGATGCTGCTTACACTGGAAAAATGTGCTTTTTTAAGTGCTATTTTTTAATAGATGTTCCCTTTTTGTTAAATTACAGCTA